GGAGGAGGAGGAGGAGAGACCCGTCGCGGTCGAGGCTGCGGAGGGGCCTGCGCGGCCGCGGGCCTGCACAGCCCGTGCAACGCTCGGGAGATAGCGAGGGGCAGTCGCCGCCTCGGCACCAGAGGGCGCGCGGGCGCGCGAGGGCTGGTGCAAAAGAGCGCGCGGAGGCTCGAGCGAGCGCAGGGCTCCCGCCGCTCATCCCCTCCTTCCCCCTTCCTCTCGTCCTCGCCCTCCTCCTCCTCCTCCTCCTCCTTGTCCTCCCCCTTCCCCTTCCTCTCGTCCTCCTGCCGATTCTCGCTCCGCTGGCGGGCGCGGGCGAGGCGCCGCGAGTGGAAGTCATCCCTCCTCCGAGTAGCTGCCTCCCTCCCCACCCCCCTCCCGCCCTCCCCCCGCCCCCCCTCCACTTCTCTCCCTGCCCTCCTTCCCCAGGACAGACGGGAGGGAGTACGGTCTCAGGAGGTATTATGTGTGCGCGCGTGTGTATATGTGTGTATGTGTGCGTATGTGTGTGTATGTGCGTGTGCGTGTGCGTGTGTGCGTTTGCGTGTGCGCGTGTGCGCGTGTGGTGTGCGCGTGTGCGCGTGTGCGCGTGTGCGCGTGTGTGCGTGTGTGCGTGTGTGCGTGTGTGCGTGTGTGCGTGTGTGCTGTGTATGTGTGTGTGTGTGCGTGTGTGTGCGTGTGTGTGTGTGTGTGTGTGTGTGCGTGTGTGTCTGTGTGTGTGTGTAAGTGTGCGTGTGTGTGTGTTGTGTGTGTGTGTGCGTGTGCGTGTGCGTGTGCGTGTGCGTGTGCGTGTGCGTGTACGCGCGTGTGTGTGCGTGCGCGTGTGCGTGCGCGCGTGCGTGTGTGTGTGTGTGTGCGTGCGGGTGTGTCGGTCCACTTGGTGCGTTTGCGTGTGCGTCGTGCGTAGTGCGGTGGGCGTCTGCGCGCGTGTGTGTGGTGGTGTGTGTGTGTGTGTGTGTGTGTGTGTTGCGTGTGCGTGTGCGTGTGTGCGTGTTCTTGTGGTGTGTGTGTGTGTGTGCGTTGCGGGTGTGTATGTGTTTTGTGGCGTGTTTGTGTGGCGTGTGTGCGGGGTTGTTGCGTGTGTGTATATGTGCGTGTTGGTGTGTATCGTGTGTGTTGTGTATTTGCGTGCGTGTGGTGTCGTGTGTGTCGTGTGCGTGGCGTGCGTGGTGCTGTGCGTTGCGTTGCGTGCGTGAGTGCGTGTGCGTTGCGTGTGCGTTGTGCGCGTGTGGTGTGTGTGCTTGTAGGGCAGCGTGTGCGTTGCGTGGTGCGTGTGCGTGTGCGTGTGTCCGTGTGCGTGGGCGTGTTTGCGGTGAGTGTGCCGTGTGCGTGTGCGTGTGCGTGGTGCGTGTGCGGTGTGCGTTTGTGCCCATGCGGGCGCCGTGTGTGTGTGTGTGTGTGTGTGTGGCGTGTGTGTGCGTGTGTGTGCGTGTGTGCGTGTGTGCGAGCGAGAGAGAGAGAGAGAGAGTGTGTGTGTAATTGTGTGCGTGCGTGTGCGTGTGCGTGTGCGTGTGCGCGTGCGTGAGCGTGCGCGTGCGCCTGCGCGTGCGCGCGTGTGTGTGTGTGTGTGCTTGTTTGCGCGGGGCGGCGGTCTGGGGGTCCTGCTGGTCCCCCCCGCCGACTGCTTCCCTCCATTCCCCTCCCTCCTCCTCCTCCCCCTTTGCCCTACTCCTCCTCCCCCCCTTGGCCTCGCACTCCTCCTCCCGTACCCTTCCCGCCCTACTTCCCCTCTCCAACCCCCCCCCCTCCCCTCGTCTTCACCCCTCCGCATCCTCCTCCTTGTCCTCCTCCGTCTTTCTTCCTTTGTCCCCCTCCTCCTCCTCCTCCTCCTTCCCCTCCTCCTCCTCCTCCTCCTCCTCCTCTACGTTCCCCCTCCCCCTCCTCCTCCTCTCCTCCTCCTCACTCCTCCTCCTCCTCCTTCCTCCTGTTCCTCCTCCTCCTCCTCCTCCTCCGCTTACTCCTCCTCCTCCTCCTCCTCCTCCTTCTTCTCCTGCTCCCTGTCCCACTCCCCTCTGCTCCTGCTCCTCCCCCGCGAGTTCTGCAACAGGGCGACCTCTGCGCAGCGGCGGCGAATGTGGGGATGGGCAGGGAGACTCGGCCCGCGGAGGCGGGAGTTCCTGTGCTGCACGTAGATCTGCACCCACGCGTCTGGGTTGTTGGCGGTGGTGAAGAGGATCCTGGGGAAACCAAAAGGTACCGATACCGCTACTCCCTCGACCTCTCCAGGGGCGTTTTTTGACCAGCATTCCGAGGCGAGTCCAGCGATGGCGAGGAGGGCCTCCCAGGAGGCCCCGAGAGGGGAACACGACGGAAGGGCAGCGGCAGGGGCACTTTTTCCTCCTCCGAGATCCACATGTTCGAGAACGACTCCGCCCACGACGGAAAGTGCACCCTGCCCCCAGCCGTCTGCGCAAATCCTCCGGCCGCCTGGCGGCTCCGGGTCGCCCCCCCGCTTCGTTCCGCCCGCAAGCGCCGAAGGAAGGCCTGGAGGCCCGAAGGGAGCGCGGGCGCCGCGAGGGGCCCGTAGGGGCGGCGGGCACGGCGCGAGGGTCTCGGGGCGCCCCAGAAGGAAAGGGCCCAGAAGAGCAGAGATCCGAAGCACAGAGAGGCCTGGCTTCCGCTCTGGCCCTGCCCCGCCTGCTCGGGAGGCGATTGCCCTCCAGCCGCGCGCCGCCTGAGCCGTGGAGCCCCTGGGCTGGGCGGGCGAGGAGGAGGTGGAGGAGGAGGGGACCAGTGCAAACCCAATAATCATCAACGATGTTGGCATAAACCATCCGCCCAAGTTCCCTTTTCATAGGCCCCTACAGGGGTTCACTTCGACTGGGGGGACTGCCTCGTTGGAAGACAACCGCTTGAAGACCCTGAAGCATGCCAAAACATCATATTCGGGACGCCAGCGCCGCATATCAACTTGACTGTTGCGTCTTGACGATCCTGAATCGCGCCATAATGCCTTTACTGGGACTTCAACACCGCGAGCGAACGTAACTACTGCACCTTCATATTCCTGAATCTTTCCAACACACAATTTCTGGTACGTTGGCAATGGGAATCCATTGAACTCTTACAATTTTCAATATGGAATGCGCGCGGCGCTAAGGCGAGAGCCAAATTTAGGAAAGGAACCGCCCTCAATACGTGAAGCATTTACAATTTGTGGAGCGAATGCGCGCGGCACTACAGCGAGAACCACATGTTGAAAACGACCCGCCCTCAATCCGTGAACTTCTTGCATGTGTTCAAACGAGTGCGCGCGACACAAAAGCGAGAGCCACATTTTGAAAACGACCTGCCCTCAATCCGTGAAGTTTCCGCACATGTTTTTAACGACTGCGCGCGGCACAAAAGCGAGATCCACACCTTGAAAACGACCCGCCCTCAATCCGTGAAGCTCTCGCAAATGTTCAAAACGATTGTGCGCGGCGCTAGGGCGACAACAACAATTTGAAAACGACCCGCTCTCAATCCGTGAAACTCTTGCAACTGTTTAGAACGAGTGCGCGCGGCGCGAAGGCGAGAGCCAAAATTTGAAAAAGACCCACCCTCCATCCGCGAAGCTGCTGCCAATGTATAAGCTCCAGGGTCATAAATGGCGAGGAAGTCTCAGGCGAAACGCCCGGTCCGCCCACTCCACCGACCTTGGGGTGCGACAGGGGGAAAGGAGAAAGGAGGCAGAGGAGGAGGAGGAGGAGGAGGAGGACGAGGAGGAGGAGGAGGAGGAGGAGGAGGAGGAGGAGGAGGAGGACGAAGGCTGAGAGGGATCCGTCGCGCGGCGCGCAAGCGGCCACTCGAAAATGGGCCCAGGCCCGCGGCTGGGCCCGCGCTCGCTGCGACCCCCACCCGGTTGCCCATCAAAAAAAAAACGGCAGGGAGGGGGCCCGAACGCAGTGACGAGCTATTGGAAGAATGAAGCTCTGAAGGGAAAACGATTAACGATTTAATCGAAACGCAACCCAAAGATTTCGGGATCAGTGACCTGGAGCCTTCTAGTGCCAGAAATCGCCTCGCGACGGTGAGAATCGGACGGATGCCGACGAGTCTAGAGACGATGAATCCGAGAGCGCCCACGAGCACTGACGGGTGGGGGCGGGCAGGGGTCCAAGAGCGACGAGGCCTTGCCCGTCGATATACCTCCACACGATAAACAGATCACAACTTTGCCTGGAGTAACATACAGCTGGTGACCACGAGCAGAGGAGGATCGAAGGTCACCCGAGCGGGGTGGGGGGAGATCGGGGCGGACGCTACGCGCGCGAAGCCCCCCGCGAAGCCCGACCCGCCTCTGCTTAGCAGGGCGCTCCTCGGGAGGGGCGAGGGGGGCGGGTCGCGCCTCCAGGTCGCGCGCAGCCTCCGCGAGGTTGCTGTCATTGGCGGCGGCTGAGAAGCTAAGCCCTCTCCCACGATCGCGAGGGGGGGGGGGGGGGGCAGTCAGACGGGCCCCCGCGACCCTCGCAGGGGAGGGGGAGGAGCGAGGGCGGACAACAGCAGCAGCAGCAGGTCTCGCAAGCGCAGCAGGAGCAGCAGCGGAAGAAGAGGAGGAGGCGGAGGTGGCGGGACCATTAGGACCGATGGGAGCTCTGGCCATGATAGGCCGAGCTCGATCAACATCGAAACTGAAAGACACCCCTTCCCACGACTCCGACGGCGGCCCAGACTCAGCCCCCCGCGCCGAGTCATCATGAAAAGCCGCCTCCTCGGCGACCATATCGTCTTGCTCAAATCTCCCACCCGCGCTCGCAGAAGCAAGATCAGAAGCATTGCTGAACCCGCGGAGCTGCAGCCCGGCCTGGGCCCTCCTCACAGGAGGCGAAGCCTGGCGCTCACGAACACGTCGAAACACCCTCCCCTCCGACCTATGACCACCCCCCCTCCCGTCAGAGGCGGCCGCAGAAGTGGCCTGGAGATCGTCAGCGTCACAGTTCCCCGTCTGGGCAGGGCCGATCGAGGGGCTATCATAATGCCCCTCATCCGTAACACTCCGAGGGGTCATCGCACACTTTGCTTTCTTGGCAGGGCAACAGCGACGCGCGAAAATACGTCGCTGCCCGTCCGAGCGAACGGTCTTGGAGCAGGAAGTACATCCCCAACCGTTCCTGACTTCAAAGAAGACGCGTTGCAATCCCGTGTCGAGCGGAGCAGCCGCGCGAGCGGCAGCAGAGGACCGCGCCTTCCGACGCTGCTCGAAACGATCCCGCAACAGTGTCACCCATATATCAGCGCGCGACTTGGCCATCCAAACAAGGGCTTTACGAACGGCCTCATAAAGCCGTTGCATAAAAAAGCGCATCCCCCTGTGAGACAGCGCGCAGATCTCGGCCCTGGGCGGCCGCGAAATCAGCCCGGCGGTTCCCCCGAGCCTCGAGCGACATACCTTTCTGATGGCCCGAGACGTGCACAACTTGAAAATTGGGACCCAGACCTCCTAGATCATCGATCCTACGCCAAATCTCGCACCACAGATCATAAGTTGGGCGCCTCGGTGAGCGCTGTGCTCAGCACCCCCAAGGCGGCCCGCGAAAGAAAACTTCTGGTAGATCCAACTAATCTAATCCGTGTAGATCGTGAGCGGCAGCGTAGCGACTCTCAAGATCTGCGCGACAGCGTAGAGCTCGGCCCTCGGGGATGTTCAAATGGGGCCTGGCAAAGCCCCATACATGCATAACGCGATACCAGGGCCCCCATACCTGAGCAAAGCCCCATCCCGCACGAGAAGCTTCTGGTCACTAGCGGTAGTTACGGCACGCCCCGTCCGAGAACACATGCCCCGTGAAAACCTGACACTCCCCATGCTTGGATTGCCATATGCACGAGTCATTCCGCGGCGGCAGCCCAGGCAAGGAAGTTCGTGACATCAAGCCGCGAGCCAAAAACCACGAAGTCGTAGTCGGGTGGGGTAGAACATGTGTTTCGCGATCGCCACAGAGACTGTTACGCCCATCAACGGTGCATGTACATGTCCATGGTATGTGAAATAGGTCTGCCGGCGTGGCTGAACAAATTGGGCACTGAGCTGCGTCGACATATCCGCACGAGTGTCGCATCGCAGGTGTCCGCGAACCTCCAGTGACTAGAGCCCTCAGAGTGCCTGCTGACTGTCAGGATGAAGAATAGGGCCTATGTGGGTCCTCCTCCTGCCGAGCCTCACCCGAGAGTGCGACGACGGGCTCCAGCCAGTGCCCGAGGGGGGTCTTGGGGTCCAGGTTGCACGACGAGTCCCGATCTGGCCGACCAGCCCAGTCTGACCATGAGCGACGAACGGCGGAATCACGAGCGAGCCCTCGAACAGCAAGCGGCGATGCCTCACGCGCGTCAATCGCCTCGCCTATGTCCGTCTTCATCGCGAAGGCCGACGACGAAACGCATTGCAACGAACGAGAAGCAAGTAGAGCGGCCCCAGCTGGTCCTGCAACGAGCCCCCAAGGCTGCTTAGAAGTGTAGATAACCCTAACCTGGCGACGCCAGGCGGCTTGTAAGAGACTGCGCTGCGACAGGTCCCAACATAATAAACTCCACCGGACAAGAAGGCCAGCCCACGCGGCTATCTGGGGATCTCGGGGGCCACCGCCATGGAGAAAGGACGAGGCCCACGCAGAACCCGAACGTCCAAGTTCGCGCCGCGCACTTCGCATGGCCTCGCGCACGGACTCGATGACCGAGGGGGGGGGGGGGGGGGCTCCATGCACTCCGACACCGTCATTGTGCGCAGCAAGAACAACAGCTTTGGCAAGCTTACCTGTGAGGGACGAAGCCGTCCAAGTCGAGGAAAACGTCCAGATATCTTTCGGACTCGGGTCCTCAGCCTATGAAAACGCAGAGCACGGCCAGACGTCACCTCGATGCCCAACACTTCTAAAGCTGTAAGATGTCTATACCCACGTACGCCCACAGTCCGACACACACACACGCACACACAAGCTCGGCGACGGAGGGGCGGGCGCAAGTCACGGTCATCTTGCGCTTGGCGGGAGCAAGGTCGACGGGGCCCAAGATGCCCGCCACCCCTTCAACGCGTAACACGCGTGCTCATATATCATGTCCATTGTGGCTTTTACCTGCATGGTCAAATCGTCCGCATACACGTGCAGCGCGCGATCAATGTGAACCGAACATCTATATAGAGAACCCACTGGTGTGAGAAGGTCAAATTGTAAGAGAAACATAGCCATGCTGCACCCTGGTAGTACACCTCGAGACGCGTATACGTGTTCGGAATATGCCCCATCCCAAGCCAAACGACGCTCGTACGAGTACATGCGTAGAGCGGGGGCAACGAGGGCCCCAGGGAAACCGTGCATTATGGCAGCTTGCAGCCTGATAGCCCACAGGACCCTGTCGAAACATTTCTCAATGTCAACGATGGCGCGCAAGCAAATCACATCATCCTTCTGGGTCTTGCTCAGCGCTCGATGTGCTTCGC